ACAATATATACTCTTTTCTGCACGTCATCATGTAAGAAAAAGTAGAGGGGAGAAAAGGCTTAAAAAGAAAGAAGAAATCTTAACTAAGAAATATCAAAGATTGGACTAACTTGAGGATTGAACAGGTATTTCACGTTGCAAAATATAGGGAAGCGTTTAAAGATGTGATCGCCCACCTTCATTGAAAGACAGCCAGTGTAACCAAACAAAAACGAATTCTATCAAATTTTCTCTATCATGCTCTATAACGGTACAATTTTAACAATGGTTTTTGAAACAGAAAAAGAATACATACCTTTGAGATGCGTATATATACAGACGTATGTTGAAAATTCTATGGATACAAAAAGTTACCAATAAACGGCACTTTGGCTTATGGGTAAACAAAAAGAATTGCTAAGCACGATCAAAGAGAGGACAATCCAATACTTAATCAAGTATTGAGAGGTAAAAGATATTAATTACTTCGAATCGTATTAGAAGATAAACTACAGGGCAAAATATTATTAAAAAGATGCCGGAACTTATGGCTGAATGACCTGAGGAGGTATTTGACCGCTCATCCACAGAATGAGCAAAGACCAAATTGACATTTGGATTGCCAACCTTTGATAGGAGACGGAAACGAGCCTTAACCATCTTAATCGATACCCATCTCCCAGACGCCTAACTAGTTGTATTTTATATATGTATACATAATACTACTTCTTCCTGTTCAATTATACTTTAATTTTTTTTCTCAAATTCCTTTTGAATATCTAGCTGCTTCATGTACCGGGTTTCTCATTATATTTTGACCCCCACTTATTTTTCTTAATTTCGGGAATACAGAAAAAATTTTCAAATAAAAGTTGTATTATTTTATCTTTACCGACCAAAAAGGTAACAACAGACCAAATTTTGTGTACACGTAGCTCCCAATAAAATGCATCTTCAATATTTCAAATGGGGCACCTTGTATTTTTTTATAACATTGTGTAGCATTAGTTTTGTTCCATAATGGCATATGGTACTACAAAAGGGTAACCATAGGTGGATATGCAACTGACATTTGAAAATGAAACAATTATTAATTTATTATAAACTGTCAGTCCTCATAGCGAAATGGGTTATACTGCAGATGAAAATGTAGATATATTCTCAATCTATGTAAACAATAATAAAAACAAGCAAGCAGCAAGAAGAGAATATAGGCTGATTTATATAGTAATCAAAAGACTGATATATTTTTTTTTGTACACACTTATGACAAGTCGAAAGAAAATGCAAAAAAGTATTTTTGAAGTGTGTATATTTTAGTACTAAAATATACACACTTCAAAAATACTTTTTTGCATTTTCTTTCGACTTGATTTATATAGATCGACAGACTCCTTCTGCAAATACATTTTTATATAATTATCGTCATGTCATAAATGGAAAAATGTTTGAACGGAAGAAACGTACTATCGTAGGAAATAATGATGAAGATCTTTATACTTTGCTTTACTTTGAAGGTAAAAATTATACACATAAATAATAGATTAAATCCATAATAATATTTTTATTTTCGAAAATTCCGAAACTAGTCTAAACAATGCTACTAATACATTAGAGAAAAGCCGTGCGACGATACATAGAGTTTTAAAACAGCACAACTATAAGCCGTACAAAATATTACCGGTACAAGAACTTACCGATGTTCATAAGAGTAAGCGTTTACAGTTCTGTCAAGACATGCTTACAAATTTGAATAATGATCCTAATTATTTTTATAACATTTTATGGACAGATGAATCCATATTTGTGGAACAAAAAAATAATAGAAAAAGAAAAATTACGCAAATAAAAAAGATAAGAAAATGAATAAATATGTAGTGCGGAATATTTTAAAACAAAATAGTTGGACCATTGTTTTATAAATTACCTGGAGAATCATATTTGGACACAGTCATTACAGAAGTGGGTGAGTTATTATATCAAAATTTTACACAAAATCAATTAAATAGTATGATATGGCAACAATATGGAGCACCGCCACATAATGTCGCAGCCGTTCAAGAACATTTAAGTAATCAATTTAATGTATGGATCGGCAATAAGGGTATCATTACATGGCCACCAAATAGTCTCGACTTAACACCATGTGATAGCTTTTTATGGAGGTTTTTAAAAGAAAAAGTGTAGTTTGATTCAAATACAAATATTAACACTATCACGGCAATAGTTCGCGCGGAAATTGAAAATTTAAATGGTCATAATAACACAATATCTGAAGCATTAGAAAATTTGAGACGAAGATATTACTTGTGCATTAATAACAATGGAGCGCACTTTGAGCATCTACTGTAATCTTAAATGTAGAATTGTATCTTAAATGTAATATTGTAAGTCATTAATTTTGTTGACATTCTAAATATATTTTTTTCTTACCTTAGTATAGTATAGTAGTATCATACGCCATTATAGAACAAAACTAATGCTACACTATGTAATATATTTGTAATCAGGAATTGCAGGGCTACAAAAAACTATAAAACAATACTTATTATTAGTCTTATTTGAAATATTGAAGATGCATTTTATTGGGCACTCCCTATATACAAAATTTGGTCTGTTGCTACACTGTTGGTCGGTTCAGATAAAATAATTCAACTTTCATTTGAAATTCTTTTTGTATTCCCGAATTTAAGGAAAATAAGTGGGGGTCAAAATATAATGAGAAACCCTGTTCACTTTAACTTAACTACGTTGTTGTATATTTTCCTTAAGATTTTGATCTAATTTATATATATATATATATATATATATATATATATATATATATATATATATATATATATATATATATGTATATATATATATATTTCTATATATATATTATGTACATATATATATATATATATATATATATATCTATATATATATATATATATATATATATATCTATATATATATATATATATATATATATATATATATATATATATATATATAGACATTCCGATACAAAAATTTCTAGTAGACAATCTTCTTCTTTGCGTGCCGCCATATCAGAACTATTCGACGTTGTCAAAAAAGCGTGAAATTGCCGTATGTAGTCTAGCTAAAATAAATTTTTCTTGTAACAGCACACTAATTTTAAGAGAAACTGGTATTAGTGTTAGAACTTATAAAACACAATACCATCAGAAAGTCAACGTCTGGGCTGGTATTTTAGATGACGACTTAATTGGCCCTTGTGTCGTCGTAAACACCTAGATCTCCTAAGAAATCACGTAATTGTAGAAGTTCGAACATTACCTATTAATATGGATGAAATTTAGTTGCACCAAGACGGCTGTCCAGCTCACAATGCACGGGAGGCGTTAGATTTTTTATACATTATGTTTCTAGATAGAGTTATTAGTACAAAAGGTACCAAAAAAATGGCACCTTGCACTTCTGATCTAGCACCTTTGGACTTGTTCATATGGGGTTATGTGAACCAACAAATTTACTGACATGAGCATAAACGTGCCGTAAATTTAAACGAATTACGTCAAAAACTAATTTGGGCCTTTACCCAAACACCCGAAGGCAATTATCCAATAGATTGGGCTTGTCTGAACGTGGTGGACTTTTTGAAACTTTAATTTAAAATAGTTTTAATTAAAATTATACAATTATTATTATTTTTTAATAAATTGTTTCAATTTTTGCCATTAAAAATTTTGTTTTTTTTTTTATAAATTCAGATTTTTTTTAATTACCTATTGCCAGATTCCAGTAAGAGCCGTAGAAGGTATTTATTGAGTTCTGACAGGCAACGGTATGGGGAAGTCTTTTTTGGACATCTACGTCATGGAACAAGACACCCTGGCATCTTTCGGCTGACTAGGATACTAAGCCAAAGACCCCAGGGTAGTGCCGGATTAACCGTGTTCCGGCTAAAACCTTAACCACTGTTCCAGAGAGGTGGTCTTACTACTCAATGAACAACTAAAATAAAAACTAAAAATTTATAAATAAACATACCTATTACCGTAAATCAGCAAATGTTTCAGACGTTAGGCCATAAACTAATAAATAACATTAACCATAAGTTTTAGATCCCTAGCTTAATTTCCTACCATCTTCTTCTGCTCCTTTTTCTTCATCACCCCAGAAATCAGACAATGTACTTCTCTCTATTCTTTCTCTCTTAACATTATGTTTACAATGTTTCTTTCATTGAGCCAGAAAGTCATTCGCTTCTCAAAATCTCCCCTCTCATTTGCCCATGTCTGGCAGATAAAAATGTGGGCGGGAGCGTCTGGTACCCCACAAATAGTACAGTCTGCTGAAGCAGATTTGCCTATTTTATTTGTGAAGGTGCCAAAACTACCATGTCCGGTCAGAAACTACGTCAGGAAGTAATCTAGTTTCCTGAACTTACATTGTCACCGCGGCCTCAGATCGGGAATAAGCTCCTTCGTCCACCTTGCCTTTCTGCTAGCATTTGCTCATTCTCTCTGCCACTCTATTATCGTTATTTCTCTTTCATTAATTTCTTTAATCTTATGCATTGAAAAAAAAAGAAATTGTTGATTTAATTTAAGACATGAACCTGCTTTTAAATCTTGTAATCACATCGTTGAAATATTTTCCCTAGCCATCTAAAGAATAAATGTTCTTTCGACAACAATATACAAACAAGACTGCCCATGGTGCTTAAGGATCACAGACACGTGGTTATAGGTTATTCTTTCGAACATACAAGTCTATATAATATTTTTTCTCAATTTGTTGCATTGTCTTAATGCCTTAATGCCTAATTTTTTTCCATAACGATATATATCAAACTTGCAAACCAACATAAAGATATCCAAATTATTTTTTCTCTTAACAGTTTCTAAGCATGAATCATTATATATGATACATATGATGATGTATATATACACTTTTTCTATTAATACTTTGAAAATTTCACTTTGTAATTTTATGAATCCGCTTTTAATATAAGTAATTAAAAACCAAATTTATAAATATGGCTTTTGCAGGTCTATGTCTTCACTGCCGCCTGAACCTTTTATGATAATGAGATCGAAAGCACTGAATAAGAGGGTTGTGATCAATGTCGGTGGAGTCAAACACGAAGTTCTTTGGAGGACCTTGGATCGCTTACCGCACACCAGGTACGTCTTCCTATTTATTCTTGCTTTATTGGTGCTTTTATTTTTATATTTTATTTTATTTATGTCAGAGAAGTTAAGTAAAATAATATTGCTAGTTACTTTTTTTGTTATCTTTTCTTTCCAGACCTACCCGTATTTCTCAGTCAAAAACAAACACCGATTAGTAAAAGACATCAAAATGATTTAAACAAATTTAAGGTAAGGAATTCACTAAAAAACGGTCACTATATGTCCTTTTACTAGACACTCTAGTAATCGAACGATTACCGGTATAAGTAATCCCCTAATTGGTGATCAACAGCTACGGGTGGAAAAACCGACATGTGGTACGGTACTTCATTGCCCTGGACCTGAAAAATTAACTCCCAAGATCAAAGATCTTAATTAGTCAACGGTATTAAGATGTGGACCTAAACCTAAAGAAGAAAAAGATCAAAATGAAAAGAAGAAAGTAATACAGAAGACGTATAACCTAATCAGCTTAGAACAAGAAAGCGTAAGATAATTATACAAAAATAGATTAAATTAAAAGTTGGAAAATAAACAATTTACCTTTAGGAGGCAGCAACAAAAGCCATTGAATACCAAATCCAGAATCAAAGAAAACTTCCATATTTGTTTGACGAAGAAATAGAACAAGAACTAAAGAAGAAAAGAGACCAATATTAAAAATTTTTAAATACAAAGAATATACCGGATAAAATAATCTACAAGGAGTCTCAAGCAAAAGTACGAAAAATGATATGTCGGAAGAAAAATGAAGCATGACAACGAAAGTGTAACATGATAAATTCACATCTAGGAGGACGAAGAAGCACAGAAAGTCAGAGAATCGTTAAATCCTTACGACAAGATAAGAAGAGACAATAGTGTCAACAATATTGGATGACTGAGACCAAAATTTTTAGAAACTCCTAAAGGAAGATAGACCACAATTTAAAGACAGCCACGAAACATAAAATATTAATATTTTAACTTCGCCCATACGAATAACAACGAAAGAAGTGTAAGATGTATGCAGATCTCTAAAAAATAACAAAGAACCGGGTCCAAGTAACATCCCTCCACATAAGAGTTAATTAAATACGGTACAACCAAACTATATACAAGTTTAGCCAAATTGTTCCAAAACTGCATTAATGGAATGACAACCCCAGAGGAGCGGAAGACATCATTTATATCCACTATATACAAAAAAGGCAGAAAGGATAAATGTGACAATTACAGAGGCATTACGTAAGAATATACGTAAAAGTAATTAAAAAAGAACAGAAAGCGAATATAACGACTTAGAGCCTGAGGAACAGGTAGGATTTAGGGCAGGTAGATCTACTATTGACCATTTGTTTTGCATTATACAGATTATTGAAAAGAAAATAGCTGTTAATCAAGAAGTACGTTTATTGTATGTAGACTTACGAAAGGCTTATGATAGCGTACCACATTATAAATTATGAGAAGCGTTAGAGAAAACAAACATAGGCATGAATTTAATAAATGTGACGAAGGAACTGTACGCTAATGCTAACTCAAAGGTAAAGCTTGGAAATAATCTGTCAAGTTGATATCAAATGAATAAAGGCCTTAAGCAGGGGGCTGCTGTCTCCCTGCATCTAGAACAGGCTCTAAAACTGTGGAAGCGCAAACGTAGAAATATGGGAATGCCGACTAACAATAATAGCATATACACATTGTCATTTGCAGATAATCAACTAGTGATAGCACAATATTATGAAGATATTGAGTATATGACTTGGAAATTAATCGAGGAGTATAAAAAAATGGGGACTTAAAACCGATATTCAAAAAATCGAGTATATGTGTATCTTAAGAATGTGTATTTTAAGAAAAAAACTGAAATTTGTTTTGTTTTTTTCTGATTTATTTTCAAAATTAACGCCGAGAAAACAACAAGGCGGAAGAAAAAGAAAAGGGAACAATGGCTTGTTAAGGTGTGTAAAACCAATCGAAACTGTGGCGAAGCGTACGTTTCAAGAAATACAAAGAAAACTGTATCAGCGCGCACAATCAGACTGCCATACAATTGTCGTAAAATGTGTTTTAAAAAGTTGGGCATGAACAATATCAATATGATTTTCAATAACTTTTGGCAAATCGGCAACTACAATAATCAAAACTAATATCTTTTAAAAGTGATAATTTGAAATGATTGTAAAAAGTCTGTAAAACTCTGACAGAGCTAGTAGAAAGCTTTAGACCATAGAATATAATGTTTCAATAAATGGAGAAAGAAAGTTTATCTTCAGGCTTTTATTACTATCCATGGCATAAGCGAAAAAAGAGTTCGCGTTGTTTTAGACAAGCAGACCACCACAAGAACTATGCCGGGTGATAACAGAGGGAAGGTAAGTTTAGGAAATTAAATGGTTGGATACAGAAAGCACTTCGTCAAAGATCATATTGATTCACTTGTTAGCGTTTCCAGTCATTATAGCAGAGCTAAAAGCCCTTTTCGTATATATATGCCACCGAGTCCGTCAATTACTGGAGTATATGGAGCTTATATAGAATGGCTTAGAAACACACATCCCAAAGAACAACCTGCGATAGAGTTCTATTATCGAAAAACTTTGTCAACGAATTCAATATAGGTGTTCAGCCTCCTTCTGTTGATGATTGTAATACCTGCTATAAGATTAAAGTTAAACTTAATAATATAGATAGTAATAGACTAGCAACCCGAATTCTTCCAGAATAACTGAATTGGATACTAAACTGAAGGTTTATTTTGCAAAGCAAAAAGCTGCGCAGAATATGATTCAAATATACAAAAGCAACCAGGATGAAAATAGTGAAGTTGTGTGTATTGATTTACACCAAGCCATTACCCACGCCTAAACTTACCTGCAACGTACAATGCTACAAAAGAAAAATGTGGACTTACAACTTAGGAATCCACAACGTTAAAACAGGAGCAGCCATAATGTATGTATGGGATGAAACCATCGCTAAACGCGGTGTGTGCTAAATAGCCAGGAGAACTACTTAGAGAAATTTGTTAATAAGCATGTGAGAAAAGTTTCAATTCTTAGTGATAACTATGCCATGCAAAATAAGAACATAAAAGTTGTTTTGTATAACCTTCACCACATTCATATAAATCGCTTTGATCTTATGAATCACGTTTTTTACAGCTCGTTTAATGTTAGGGCATTCGATGATGGGATGTGATCAAGATTTTGTTTCAATTAAATTAAAGATCAAGGACTGTGAGGTATTTTCTAAAAAACACTATATTCATTTTATTACATACACTAAACAAAACAAATTCCAAGTTGTTAATGTCACGATTGCAATGGTTAAGGATTTTAGTATTCTTCAAAAAGCAGCAACTAAATCTCAAATGTTGGGAGCTAACTTCAAGGATGGAAGAATATTCGAATTTTTAAAATATTTTAAGATGGGCTATAAAATTCAAATCGTATATAACATCGACATTCCTACAAATGTCATAAAAGGAACGAAAAAAACTTCACGATGTAATAAATTTTAAATAATTAATGAATTCGACCGGTACTTGATGGAAATTCATTTTATTTAACAGTAAAACACTGAAAACTTTGTTTTCAAACTTTCACAAAGTTTATTTTAAACTATTATCACTACAGCTGTTTCGACTGATTGCCTTTCTCGACTGATCTAATAAATTTTAACTTAAATAGTATAGAACTTCCTTTCAAATACCAGGGTGCTCTCAAGCTTACAGAAGAAAATAAAAAGGACTTATAAGATCTTATTTATTATGTACCCGTGCCTCACAAGCGTGCTTTACAAGATGCTATTAGTGGAATAATTAGTACAACTGAAGTCGAAGAAACTGTAAACGATGAAAATCAAATTGATTTGAATTAAAGCATTATTTGTGAATTTTTCAAATTACTTTACTGCTATTAGCTTCCAGATACATTGTTAACAAAACTATGTTTATTTTTGTAGAATAAAAAATATTCTTTTCATTTTTTTTAAATTTTACAAATTTTCCAAAATCTTTTTTATAATAACGGTATAGTTTTATACAATTGGTTGTAATTAAGTTCTATTTAACTGGGAATAAGCCACAAGTAAAGATAAAAATACGTTTATTGACGTTTCAATTTCCACTTCGGAAATCGTTCTCAAAATACAAACAGTAAATTAAACAAATTTTGTTTTTGTTACTTAGTGAAAAGTTCTTCTAATAATTTAATTTTATCTGACTCATTTATATTGACAATTCAGACATACTTCTAACATTTAATGGCCTTGATGTTTCACCTAAATAAAACTGATTGCATTCACAAGGTATTTTATAAATGCAATTCTTTGTCTTTTCTTGTTCATTGTTAGGTTTGGTTTTGGACAAAATAGATCTTAACGTGTTTGTTGTTTTGAATGTTGTTGAAATGTTGAATTTATTTCCTATCCTTTTAAGTTTTCCTGATAATCCTTTTATGTACGGTATTGTGATTTTCCTCGTATTATTCCTTGTGTATGCTGTAGAATCTCTTTCTTAGTTGTTCTGTTCTATTCGATTGATTGTTGAAAATGCCTTATTTATAAACGATAAAGGATAATCATTTTTTAATAAAATAGATGTTAACAAATGTTTCTCCTTCAAGAACGAATTTTCGTTAGAACAAGTAATTTTGGCTCTATCGTATAAGGATTTAATTATTCCCTTTTTTACATTAATATTGTGATTTGATTTGAAATTTAAATATCTATTGGTGTGTGTTGGTTTTCTATACACCTGAGTCTCATATCCAGTATAGTTCTTAGAGATTAAAACATCTAGGAAAGGTAGCGTGTTATTATATTCCTTTTCCATGGTAAATGTTATTCTCTTCTTTATCGTTTATATCATTTAGGAATGTGTCCAACAACTCTGATCCATGAGGCCATATTGAGAATACATCATCTGCATACCTCCACCATACTGTGGGTTTTAAATTTTGTTTAGAAATGATATTTGTTTCAAAATCTTCCACAAGTAGATCGGT